ATAAACACCAGTAGCACCAGTATTTCGTATACTCTCCACACAAAAAGTCACAAAAAAGTTCATCTTTCAATGCTCATACCTCAAAGACCGTAATACCTACAAGATTTTGTTCCATTTATAAAGGTTGTTAAGAATTAAATCCTCTACAACATATCAAAATTTGAAAAAAATCGACCGATCGCTGAAACCCCATATAAGTTGTGCGAGGCCCTTCGACACGAGTCAAAGGAACGCGGGCCTAAGCTGTTCAGGTGGGGGGTTGGGGATTCTCATCCTCTAGTCGCAACCTATCGTCCCGACTATCCCATTGCCTTTCTACGAGTGAGTCGGGGGGACGATAGGTTCCGACTAGAGGATGGTGGGATATCGCATCTACATGCCAAGCCTCGATCAACATGCCGATTCTGAACGATCCAGGAAAAGCCAAAGCCACAATGCCCAGTTAGCCATGCCACGCGCCGTGGGATGCCGGCTTAACAGATAGAATAAGATAATGACGTAATGGATGTGAAATGTGAAGTAGAAATAGGGTCTCTTTCTGCAGAAATCACAAACCAGTCAGAGACCTATTAACATGCCAATATATTGCCAATAGGCTAGGAAAAAAATAAATGCTGCGATAATTTAACAAGTGATTTTCATTAAGGGCCGGTTTCTCAATAGCGAGTCACCTCCGGGCTAGTTTTAACTCCAGGGTAAGCGTGTCCAGTTGCAATGTTTACCCGGAGTTATGCTTAACCCGGGGGTGACTTGCTATTGACATTGAGAAACCGGCCATATCAAACAACATAACCTCCTTTAACTAGATGAGATGGAAAAAACCGTTATTTTTTAAAAAACAGTTACAACTGCTACTGTTTATTATAACAGCTTAAAATAACAGGTTGCCGTTATTTTTTCGTGGTGCTAGCGTATACTTGTTGGTAAACAAAGAATCAATGCGGCTGTAGTTGCAGTTAAACGGTTATCGGTAATAAAATAACGCTAACAGCTGTAACAACCAGTGTAAAGGCGGGCACAGACATGCGATATTTGCCGAATCGCGATTATTCGTTATTTGCCGAGCAACTCGGTAAATTAATTTCTATTTGGCGACCAAGGTGTCCATACATAGCGATGGGAAAACATCGAATAGCGAATATTTGCCCGAGCAACCCATTATCCCATACACACTAATCGCTACTTGCCGAATATAGGCCAAGCAATGAAGGAAGTTTACCTCAACATAATTAGAAGTTAACATTTTTTGGGGGGGATCGGTTCATTTCCATGTGCTTAATAACATATTGAATTTGCGACCTTGTACTTCCATAGGGTTTTTAGTTAGGGGTGGTTTTTAGGGGTAATTTGCGGTTTATGGAGAACGCTGCTCAAAGGGATGGTCCAATAGCAAAAAGTTTCAAATTAATGTTGTAGCTGAAGTTTTTTGCTATAAAAAACTGCAGCGTCTTCAATACTAGCATGTTTTTATTCAAGGTCACTGAATCAACGTTTTACCTGTTTGCGCGCATTTGATGCAGCAGCGACTAAATGCATAATCCGATTTCAATTTTTTAAACACCACATTATTGCTAATGAAATGCACTCTCCAATGCTTTTTTTCGAATTTTTTGCTGGAAAATAAAGCGAGCACGGACTTCCCTAATTTGCGAGGAAGTTGTAAATTGCATCGAAAACTACCCCTTTATTATTGCATTCACTGTAATTTCTAAACGGGGCCAAATATTTGGTGACAGTTTTCGACAATTTCAAATGCAATGCGGCATCGACCGACTGACAATCTACTAGAAGACGTTCCGTCATCAAACATGAGTAGGTGAACGTTTAGAGTTTCAGCATTATTTTTCAACTGTTAATTTTGAACTAAAACCACAGTTGCAACTGTTATTTCTAATATAAATAACAAATAACAGCTTAAAAATCACAGATAGTTAAATAACAACACAATACATGCTTGCGTTTAACAACAAAAATTACAACTTGGCGACGAGAAAAAACACCTCAAATTTGAAATGGAAAACACGCTGGATATTATTGAGATTTTTAACATCTACGCAACAGACGTAGCGTAGGGCAGAAATGCGCGAGAAGATAACTTTCTATTCAACAAATAACCGACGACAGAAAAGATGGGAAGGCAGTCTTTGACATTTTTGGCTCTTTGTCTGAGCCGAAACACCAAGGAAAATACACAATAATAAGGATTGCTTATAGGCCTCGTTTTTGGTAATTGCCGCCATTTGGTGTGTCACCATTTCCTACGTCATAACTAAGTCGTCGGCTGTTTGCACTAGCGGTCGTAGTTTAGAATTTAAATTTATGAAGAAAATTATATTATTTAATTTTGATTATCATAATAGGCAAAGAGGAAGATGGAAACGAGATCTAAAAAAGAGTTGTTTTAGAATGTTAATTAATGTACTTAAACCAAGTATGCATATAGCAAAAGCCCGCGGAATCATAACCTATAGTGCAAATAGCCCAAGGATGATACACACTACTACAACAGCAGGATCGCCTATCCGCATAAGGCCTGTGTGTAACAAATCCCCCCTTCCCTCTCGACAAATAAAGAATTTTGTAATTATCATATTTCGAACAATTTATGTGTGACGTAGGCAGCATGTTCTTTCTCACCATGACGTAAGCTGTTTAAACAGCTGACGACTTACTTATGAGTTCGGAAATGGTAACACACCAATATGGCGGCGATTACCAAAACCGAGGCCGATAAGCAATCCTAGTAGATGTGTATCATCCTTGCAAACAGCCTACGGCGAGAAACGACATCCTGCCTACGTCACAACTGGTGATTTGGCGTGGTAGGGGGCTTCAGAATTGTTCCACACAAATCCACACATAAATCGTTCGAAATATGATAATTACAAAAATAAAACTAAGTACCTACCTTTTTTTTCCACAAATCAATGTACAATATACCCATTGAATTTGAGTTCTATAACATCCCCAGTTCAAACAAGTTAGAACTGAAACCATTAGCGAGTACCTATCTGCAAAGTTACTGATGCTATTACATGCGAATTGTGGTTTTGTAGACAGGGATATGAAATTGCAAATTATCAAGAAGGTATATATGCTATAACTGAGAACTCCACTCTACAACAATAAATTATAAGGCAAGCAAAAGTGTATGAGATAACAGAAATGCAAGTTCCTGAAATGGAAAGATAAAACTAAAACCCTTCTTCGTGCCAATCCTGCCGTCTCCTTTGAGAAAGTTGGCAACCATTATAGCATAGCAAATATAGCAATTCGAACCTTGGATGCCGCAGGGGTTGTGCCGCAGGTTTAAATAGTTTTAAATAGTTCCACAGAACTTTCTAAGGTTGTTCAACCAAGAAATGTGCCTTCTTCTACAATCCACGGCTTATGTATTTAGTAGCATTTATTCAGAAACCAATATTCATAAAAATACAATAATACAGTAGGTACAGTTATTAGCTTATATCCGATAAGTTATGGTAAAAAGTCATAAATCAAAATTGTGTGAAATTTCATCAAAAATCTATTGCTAGCATTTTTGAGATACGTTTCCATTTGAAATTTAAAAAATAAAACCATTTTTGTACTTTGACAGTTGGGTTACGCCCCCTTACGGTCATTTTAGAAAGCTGAAATATATTTCCAGCATTTTCTCTTGGCCATATTTATGGGATAATTTTTTTCCGACAAGACTACGATGAATAGTTTTTGAGATATGGCCGAGTGCCATTCTTAATGAATCACCCTGTACAATAAAAATAATAGAGGTCCCAAAACAGATCCTTGTGGAACCCCTGCACTTATAGCCAGTTGTTCTGAATCAACACCATCAAAAGTAACTCTCTGTGCCCGTTCAGAAAAGTAGGACTCAAACCACATAGTAGGAGCATAAATAAATACGGATTATCAAGTCGATGTGTCTGCTCGAAATTATCGATAGTCGAAATTTTGCACTATCGCACACGTCTACACGCTGCCACGCGAGCCTGGGACTGGGTGACCCGTACTTGTGGGCGCACCGAGAGCGGAACTGATTTTTTGAACCAAAACATAGCATCGGTATTATTAGTTATTTATGTCATTAGGGCAAGAAGTGAGTCTTCAAAGGATTGCAATATTTTCTTCCACAACTTAATTACTGCTATTTTCATGAATAAAGAGCTGCTAATAGTTGTATTCCTTTCAAGAGTTTGAAACACTCGAGCTACTCGCTCCGGTGTTCAAGCACCCCTGATTTGCAGGGAACAGATGCGTGATGCAAGAAACACTTTTCGAAAGAAATAAGCGCGTGAAGCCCCGGAGCTGTTCAGGAGCTCCTCCTAGGTGTGAAAGGAATACAACTACTATTACTATTACTACGACGCGCGACGAATGTCAAATATGTGAATTTTGGTCCCAGCAGATCTGCTTGGCGCAGATCTAGCAAGTATAAATGAAAACCCCTAGAGTGCGTTCGAAATCACCCTGGGCGTCACACTGAGTGCACACCAGCCATGAATAACATATGGCTGGTGTGCACTCGGTGTGACGCCCAGGGTGATTTCGAACGCACTCCTAATTTTATAAATTGTCAAGAATGTCATGATTAGAAAACCCAAAACCGTTTGTCCTTTCGGGTTGACTGAAATTGAAAGTTATGTAGTTTTTCTTTCCCGTTTTTTTCAGTCTTTTCTGTAGTGAAATCCGGAATGATTTTTCATGTGTTGTGTTTATTGCTAATATACATGGTGTTAAGATAAACATTACATTTCCATAATTCATCAAAACACGTTTCTTTCGGTGTTTTCTGTAGAAACAAAAAACCGGTGTATGTGAGGTGAGGACACCATTGTAGTTGATAGTGAATTTTTTCCTCGATTTTTTCTCTGAAAATGGAGTTGGATGAAGATTTAGAAAAGAGTAAAAAAGGTAAGCATAGATGTTTTGTTTTAATTATTTAATTTGTTATAAATGTTTACAAATTCTTTATAGTGATAGATAGCCCCAGTGATGTTATGGTGACCATATTTGAATCCTGCGATGTAGATAAAACGGATTTGGTAAAAGTTTCCGAGCTGATAAATATTATAAGTCCTTATTTCCCGGTGGAAACTTGGTGAGTAGAATAGCTATGTTTTTGTTTCAATTTCTATTTGGAAATGTTTGTACCGTACCTACCTAGACCTAGCTACATCATCCCAATCGTATGATTTTTGTCATTTTGTATTTCGGCTTAACTTATGGTTGCCACCTTTTGATTTCCGAAAACCCGTACATAATCGAAGCTAACTTTTTTTTGTAGCATAATTTAAATTTACACTTCATATCTGTAAAATGAATTTTTAGAAAAAAATTAAAAAAGGTATCTACTTAATTTCAAACGCCACCCCTCATAGTTAGGGTCTATTTTAAAATTTAAAAAAAAAAAAAAAAAAAAAAAAAAAAAAACGGAGACACTTGTAAGTGAACAGGGAGAACGACCCAATACATACATAATTACTTGTTTTATTAGGCAGAAAAGCACAATATTTAATGCTGCGACTAGTGTTCCATATCCGAAAGCGTAGCGAGGAATTCAGCCAAGGCATTAAATCTGATCTTTTGCCGTGTGAAACATATATAATTTTTTCTCTGAATTTGTTACAGTTTCACGCATAATCAACTTTTTTATGTTTATCAATTGCGCTGATAACGTTTGTTGAATGGAAAGCAACGAACTTTTCTGCCTAGGCAGAAAAAGTCCACTTTTCTGTCACTAACTGGAAACTGGAGACGTTCGTGACACACCCTTCATTCAAGAAGTAGGAACGTTCAGAAATTAGTTGGGTATATCATAAGGCGTTCGGCAATCGCCTTTATAAATTTTATATTAAGTATTAATAATTATATAGTTATCCAGATATTCCCGGACATTTTCATCATGCGTCCAGACACCGGACAGTCCGGGTGAAAACCGGACAGGTGGCAACCCTAGCTTAACTACAATAGGGTAGTGGACAATTTTTTGAAATATTTTTTTTATTAATCTTCATAACAAAATAAACAGTAGTTGATGATTCTTTGATTTTTGAAAACAAAAATATACGTAAAAAAAATTTAACAAATTTGTACTTATTTTAAACGCTATAATTTGCTGCCCGGAAATTACGTCACAGCTGTTATGATGAGAGTGGCGAGAGCGGGGTCTGCGCGTCCTTATATTTTACATGCTATTAGAAAAAGATGCCGATAAACTCAGTGCGTGCGCACTGATTGACAAATGGAAATCTTTCAAAAAGTGGGGTTATGTTGAGGGTGCACCTAGATGTAAGGCGATTTTCAGCCTGGAATGATTATTTAGCGGTAAATACCGTGGTTATGCTTTTGGTTGACAACTTTGACAGCCAAGTGTGATGTCATAGCTCCCCACCATTCAAGAATCATAACCCAAGGAACTGACCCCTGAAATGATTTGGTTATAGCAGTGTAGGATTAGGTGTATTGTTCTTATTTGTTTTTTCGTTTCAACAATAGTTTTTTGTTTAGGTACAAAAAATGGAGCTGAATCTCTCGTTAGTCTCGTTTATCGAACAGATTTTCTTTGGGGGTGATCTAAACCTCGATCTAAACATGGTGAATTGCAGTGAGTGAGTGAATGTATACTTCTTTCATTGTGCCAGGCTACAACGCAACTGCAAAATCACAAAACACCAATACAAATTCCAAAAATAATAACAATAACATCAAAAAGCTATAACCAAAAGATTAACCCAAGTCCACAGCTGGGTTATAATCGGTTATAAGTGGTAAATACCAAAAGCAAATCAGCTGATATGTGACGTCACAACTTCCCCTACTTTGGTTAAAACCGCGAGGGCGGAAATGCATTGGTTATAACCAAATAATAATCATTCCAGGCTGAAAATCGCCTCTAATGATACCCGACAGACGCTGATATATCTCTCTTTTTTGCACTAATGAGTAAGTTTGTGTCGAATATCGGACGTAGGTTTGATTTAATTCATACTCAAATACAGCAGCTATGAGGTAGAATCAAGGCGCGAAATATTTCCGTTTAAATAGTGCGTCCCAAAACTCTACTTTTACAACCGTTTTCAACAAAGTTAGTAATTTTATCTGAAGTTTCTTTTAATGCGAATATTTTTTATTTACTTCATAGATGAAGGATCATCGATTTCATTGAAATTATACCTTGTCCACTACCCTATTATTATGCCGAGAATTTGGCAATCCATCAAATAGTACCTAATATAACAGGTGGAGGTGCATTTAAAATTATCAATAATTTGCTGAAATGTGTGTTGAGTCGAAGGACTCATGCTTGTGTGTACTTCTTTCAATGCTTATCAGTTTTCACAGATCAACATGAATGAACATTTTTTCCAAAAATTATTGATATGAATATAATATTTAAATTTGAAATTTTTTTAACTGACGCTAAATATAAATTCCTTGATATCTCTATATTGCTGATTTCCAAAGTGAAACTGTGTTTAGTGTAGGTTTAAGATTGTTTAATAGTATCCCTAGGGACATAAAAGAATGCAACTCATTAAGAACTTTTAAAACAAAATGTGCTCATTATGTGAAGACTTTGTAAAACTTTTTGGATGTAAATACTTATTTGCCTAGCTGTTTGTATTTGTAATGACATTGTTGAGAGCAATTAATTTGCTAATAAAGTGTGATAATAAATTGAAAATTTTTGTCATCCAGCCAGAAACGAGTCCAGATAATAATTTATAATAATATGTATACCTAAATTTGCTTTAGAGGTGGTAAACCCAAATTGCTTGATTTTATGCTGACACCTACAAACAGCATTTCATGAAAAAATAATAATATTATTCAAATAATTAATTTTTTTAATGTCCAACATCAAAAGTCCCTGATAAAGTAAGTAAACTTTGGTAATCACTTTGATTTTTTCAAACTAAAAGTGCTGAAAGTTGGCCATAAATGGAAAATTCAGACAATCGGATTGTCAAAAGAGTAGGTACCTAGGTTTATGCTTGGTGCATTCAATTCATCCTCATTAATCCACTGATGAAAATACTCTGCCAATTTATTGGCACCTACCCTCGCACCTACCTATGTACAGGGTGTTTGATTATATTCAAGCCCATACCCACAGCCTTTACTAAACTACACATCAATCGAACTCGAACACCCCAATTTTTGGTCACTTTTTGTAAGACTATAACTTAAAATCTAGCAGGCCGATTTTGTTCAAATTTTCTTTCTCTGAAAGGATGCTCCAATTGCTATTTAATTTCCAGTTGCTAACAGATTTCCGGCCACCTGCTAAAAGATACAGGGTGAAACATAAGGTGGCGATTTTTTTTGCGAAAGTTTGGGTTCACCCCATTCTGCTGGAGGGAGGGTTGAGTAGATTTTTGGTATTCAGTTTAGAAGAGTACCTTAGTACCTCGGGACGTTTTTGAGATTTTCCGAATATCGCAGCCCACTACGATTTTATCATGAGTTATGCGATTTTATGCAAAATATAGCTTTTGACGTCATTATTTCCTTTCAAACCAAACACTACAATTATGGCGCATGTGAAAACACACTTTAGAACATATTATACAGGGTCATACAAAAATATACAGTGTCTATTTTTCTAACCAGAGGGATCTCGGTTATTATAAAAGATGTGAGGTCGGTTAAATTAGGGTGAAGTCGCGCAATTTTATGGCCAATAACATGGCGGTTTGAAATTTAAAAAATTTCGAATAATTCCAGAGAAATCCGAAAAAAACCGAAATTTTGTAAAACTGTTTTCATTTTTTTTTCTGAGTTTAGTTGATGTGATATTGAAAAACAATGGCCACATTTAGGATTGCCACTTTTAGCGAGATTTATTAGGGCCGGTATTTCCATGTTACCTTGAAATCAAGACTTAGGTACCTTTAACGTTAAGGTGAACTTGAAATTAGTTCATTCAGGTGGCTCAAGATTCATCTTAAATTCAGGGAACTTTTATATCCTAGCTTGTGTTCGTCGCGCGACCGACATCAGCGCTCCAATAATATATATAAATGTTAGTAGAATTGTTGGAAAAAATTGTTGGAAAGTTTTTTTGAGGGTGGATCCTATCCACCAGTTACTTAAAAAATTAAAAAACGCTAGTGGAAATGTGAAAATCAAGTGCAAAACTGTAAGTACTATAAGCATAAAGACGATTTTTGCCTAACGTCTCGACCTCGTACTGTGAAATATTTATGGTGCCAATCATAAAAAATCTATGTTCATTTATTTATTTACGTCTGATAATGGTCCAGTATTGAAAGCAAATTATCGTGATTATTTGTTTATTTATGTTAAAATTGGATGTCATTAATTATTGAAAACACAGAGATTTAAGGCATCTTTTGGACTCCCAAAAATGTCTCGAAAAATTGCGGCTAGTGGAATATGCAACAAATGCTCACTGAATTGCACCTTCAAGGTTTCAACTGAGAAGAGAGATGGCAATGAGGAGCTTTTTGGGTATCCTTGCGATGGTTGCAAGATGGTTTTGTGCAGAAGATGTGAAAAATGGAATACAACAGAAGTAAGATTTATACAGACAATATCCAGAAAAATACCATTTTTTTGCATTGACTGCCTAAAAGAAAAATCAGGGACACTAGTTAAGCAAGTACAAAAATTACACCTTGATAACAGCCATTTAAGAATTGAGATGGAAAAGATGGAAGAAGTTATAAATCAACAACGAGAAGAAATTAGTGAAATAATTGAGAAAAATGAACTTCTTATCCAGGAGAAAAGTGACATGGAGAAATATATGGAAAGGAGTAGAAGAACCACTATGGATTTTGAGGATGAAGTCCTTGCAACAGAAGAGTGTCTCAAAAAAAAGATTGACAAGCAGAAAGTCGAATTGCATAATATAAATGAAGAAAACCTAAATTTGGGTAAAGAAATTGACGATCTACTAACCAGTAATCAAGAGATCAAGGAGAAAAACAGAAAGCTAGAGATGGACCTTGAAAACTTAGTGTCGCTTAAAGACGAAATGTTGACCTCAATCAGAACTTTAACTGAGGACAATGAAACTTGTATGAATGACTACAAAAAAGCGCAAAAAGAGATCTTCTTGATGAGGACTAG